TTGGAGAACTTGTATTTAACAATTAGGGCTATAACCCATCCTTTGCGCATGCGTTTACCGCCAGGTGTTTCTTTTAAGTAGACGGCAATTAAATGCCAATCCGCAAGTGATACATAGCTTTTTTGTTAAACTTTTTTCGTGATACAAATGAATTCAGAGAGAACTAACAGTTTATCCATTTAGCCTTTGGGAAAGCAAGCCTGTTATCTAAAATGGTATTTATTTAGATAAAGATTTGCCATTTAAAAATAGGAAATATTTTACAACCGAACCGCGTGTTAAAATTATTAAATTGTTCTACCAAAATGGCTGCATTTCGTGTACTACCCGGATATTATGACCGATATATTCGTTCATTCCAGCAAACAAATAAAATTTTATTTGAGACTGGATCAGAAAAACCTGTGCATCATCGTTTTGCCCGTTAAACCGAAAATATAGCTGCTTGCTTTGAGTGTTGCCAGTGATATAAATCTTTCGATTTCACACGGAGCTAAGCATTAGGGGCCGTCAATAATGATCAATGACTTCTTTGGAGTTGAGAGTTTTGATCTGAGAGCAAAGCGGTTTCAACCAGATGGTCCAGTTTTGCGCGAGAAATTAATAGGACGTCTAACTTTGAGATTCGGAGATGTGCTTTGGCCTCTAAGCTTCTGAGATTTAACGCCTTTGAATATTTTGCATAGGGCTATGAAAAATATCGTGGTTATACGAACAACTCAAAAATTCTTTAGCAATTGAATGACAAGATGCGCAAAATTTAGGGCCGAATTATCGCCCGAATTATGTGAAAAAATCAAAAATTACCTCAAAAAGAATAAGTTCTGTTAACGGAATGCTTCCCATATGATGGAGTAGTCCAACGTTTATTATAAAAAAAATTCCATCGAAATATAAATATTTTGTGTCCTTTTTAGTTTTATTTCCGCAAGGGAAAAATGGATAGCCCTGTATGATTTGAAAATACGACAACGGCCGAAATAATCACCGACGAGTCATCACTGTTACTGATCTTGCCTTTTGTTGCTGTAACAGCATACAAATTCTAAAGAGCTTTTCTTGGGAAACAGCTAATGTGACAAATCATGACCAGGGTCGTTCCGGTAACGTAAACCTCTTCGTGCGTCAGCTGGGGAGCATTGACATAGTCGCTTTAAAGGAAATCACTTCATATTCATCAGTACCCGTTTACTCTATGTGAATGTGGAAGGGGTCTCACTGATAAAAGGAACTCTGCTGGGTGCCCAACACAAAGCGACTCGATGATAAGGCAGAACATTCCCAAGACAGCTGGTTCTATGCACCGGAATGATCCCGTTTAGTACGGCGACGCCATAAATCGTTTTTGGGCTATGGAGCAACATCTTGCAGAAGGATTGCTCCATATCCTTCTTCTCAGGGCGGGTATTGGACCGCAAAGGTTGTGGCTCCGTAATGCTTAAGCCATACGGCATCATCCGCCTACACGGCCACCAACCCGCGTACTATCGCGGGAGCACTTCAGCTCCCTAAGGGCCCGCTCAGTTCCAAGCAGCTCACATCAGCAACAACTAAACTCCCCACGAAGCAGACCACTCAACACCGACTTTGCTCCCGCGGACCACCAAACCTATATCAACTTCAAAAGAGCTCATTGCAACTGCTTCGCTAGCACCTTTGCCGCCCTTTCTACAGGCACAAACGTACACGCTGGTGAACGTCATATCCGCAAGGTTATTACTGCTTGCTTCGCATCGCTGAAGTCCGCCCAAACTTTCCGGCAAAAGCGGCTGTTCTCGCAAATGAGCATAACCACCAACGCAACTGCAAGATTCGGCAACTTGTAAATAAACACGGAAAAGGCAAGACTCAAACGGTGATCAGTGAATTATATGAGTGGTCGGCTGTCGTCAGTAACCTTCCGAGAGCAGACTTCAAACCAAATGAGAATTAAGCAAGGGGTACAACAGGGTGGTGTCCTCTCCTCGTTATTGTTTAACTTCAATATCTCGAAGCTTCCTCAACCACCTGTGGGAGTTTCCCTGATCGCATGCCGACTGTTCGATCTTGGCGTCCGAAAATGAAATTGCTGAACTCTGCTCGAAAGTAAATGTTTACCTCTCCGAACTTATTCGCTTCATCACTGCTTAACCCACTCCCCGAAGAAGTCAACGGCGACGCTCTTCACCACTTGGACGAAGGAGGTCAAGCTTCAACTAGGCATTCACGTCGATGGCACACCAACTCCGTTATTGAACCACCAGAAAATCTTAGTAACACCCTTGGACAGCCTGCTCTCCTTCTCGCACACGTCCCCAATTGTTGATTGGGTACAGATCCGCAACAACGTTTTCAAGTCCCTAGCCGGGATCACCTGGAGCAAAGACAAAGAACGTTGGCAACATTCAAGGCATTTGGCCGACCGGTTCTAAACTATGCAGCACCCGTGTGGTCGCCTGGGGTTTTCATGACGCAGTGCACGAAGCTACATAACTACTAAAACGCGTCACACCCTCCACCTAGGCACGTCAAAGGGCATCTTTTCGAATGTAAGGATGCGGTCCAGACCTCCATAAACCAACCACTGGACCCTACGATGTACAGAAAAGTGATCAACGGCATTCGTAGTGTCCGTCAACATTTTTACGACACTCGATCAATGAAGGACGTAATAGGAGTCCAATCTGCACCTGATCCAGACACAGAGCTTCGACTGCCACATCACTATGGCCCATTTAAGTTCTAGATACTGTAGCCGTCTCAACAGCTACTTATCCAGACTCGACCCCGATATTCCTAATGAGTGTCCTGCATGTGGAGATTCCCTACATGACACCAACCATCTCTTCACATGCCAACTCAAGCTAACACCTCTGGTCAAACACCCTCGAAACGGCTCATTTCCTGGACCTACTATTATTTGAGCTTGACGACGATTGATGTACAAACCGACTTAGACGAAACTTAGTAATTCCGCAGCAATAACACCAACAACAACGTTCGGCGTAGGAACATCGGATTTGGTATCAAAGGTGTTAGGTATCCATGGCACTGGTTATGGTGCGGGGCACCGAGGGAACCGGCTGTAGTGCAGTTTCAAGAAGGCAAACGTTTGCGATGACTTCGGCGGTAGTTATTGAAAAGATGAAGTGAAGGTGAGCCACTATTGAGGTTCAAGGGTTTGCGAGGCCGAATCTTTCTGTCGAAGAGAGGAATTTGGTGGCGAAAAGATCGATACTTCGCTGATAAAAATACAAACCGGCCGATGTCGGTTTATATCTTGCACCTGATACATGAAGTTATAAAACAACATTCTTTTTTATAGCTGCTGTCCTTCGACAGACAATTAGGGTTCTGACATAAAAAACGATTCTTATCTGCTGTTCGGCGCCGAGAAAGACCTGAAGGCACACACCATGAAAAAACGCACAAATACGTAAATAATACTCTAATAGGTTTGAAGCGAGTGTAATTATTTAAAAAGTTCTGACTTGTTCTGATAATTAAACGATGTAACATAGCCGCGATTTTCAAATTATATTTCAAAATTCATATGGAAGGACTGCTTAATTGAATTGTAACCTTTAAGAGACATCAGTAACCTCACATAGAGCCCTCTGCGTAATTTATACTAAAAGTTAGACGCTTCCATATATACGTCAAATTATAGATACATTCGATAAGCTTTTTTGTGCCTTTTACATTCTTTTCTTGTTTCAAAAATGCGTTATAATACTTAAAAACATTAAATTATGTATATTTAAGAAAAAGCTTGTATAAAAGTTGAAAATTTAAGAAAAACTTTCAATTACAATTAGAAGAAGCCTATTTTGTATTTGTTTTATTTTCATATTTGAGATTCATTTATGTAATAAATTTTAAAACAGCATTATAGCATAAGTGGTATCAGCGGGTTTTTATAAACAACTAAAATTTGTGTCTTGGTTTTTACTGTTAGATCCCATCTTTTCTCCACAATATTTTTATGAACACGCTTAAGGATGAATTTATTTTGAAAATCTTTCTATAACGCGTAATTCTTTTTTTTATAAATATTGAAATGATTCTTAATAAACAATTTGTTCTTCCGCAGTTTTAAAAGTAATACAAAACAAAATATGGAAAGTAAAAGTCTCTTCTTTATGATTCAATATGGAAGTACCGAGGTTCACTTCATCTGGCTTAAAATAAATATGTATGTAAAAGAAATTCGCAAAAATATGTCTAACTATAGTAGCTGTTGTCAGAAAAAATATAGAAAAGTATTTATATATATATTCGTATACATATGGGATGTTCCACGTCAACCGGAACAAGGCTCAGTCCAAATCTCACCTTGATGGATTTTAATGATCATTTCTCTTTCACATCGCATTACAGAGTAGCACCCCTGGACTCAAAATGTTCGCTACTGATCGCCCTTTGTGGGAAAATGTAAACTTTTCGGCGGGTGGAAACCTGAGAAAAATAGAGATCTTGAATTAACACACCTGTTAAATAAAAAATTGACTACCGATTTATCTCTTTTTGTTCTAAAATTTTCGGTAATGGACGTTCCCAAGAAACTGATATGATAGGTTGGCTATATTCAACATGTTTAACTTTTATGAAACTTGGAATATAGGAGTCTTTCGGGTCGCTGATTGCGAATCTGTAAACATATATTTTTTTTTAATGGCGGATCCCATATGGCGGGCATATTTTTAAAAATTGTTTGATTCTTGTAACGTTTTGGACATGCATCTTTTAAAAGTTCTAAATGGCGGATCCAATATAACGGTTCGATTTTCGCGACATTTTTATAAATTCGTAATCAGTGAATCCCCTAAATGAAAAATGTCAGGAAAACCAAAATTTTTTTCGAAAAGTTGTCCGCCTTATTGGATCTGCAATTTTGAATTAAAAAAAATATTATAGGTTCTTAATCAGAGACCTCCTCCATGTTGAATTTAGCCAACCTATCTGACCAGTTTGGAACGTCAATTACCAAAAATTTTAGCGCAAAACCAGATGATTCGGTCTTGAATTTTTCGTTTAACAGGTGTTTTAATTCAAGAACTCGATTTTTCTCAGGCTTCCCGCTGTCATGTTGAGCCGACATTTTGAAGATTTCCAAAAGATCATATTGACCCATCAAGGACGATCAATAACAAAAATTTTAAGCCCACGATCATTAAAATAAATTAACGTGAATTCTGGGAAGAGCCCTGTTTCGCTTGACGTGGAACGTCCCATATACATATTTATAAACAATTTCTAGTCCATTTTGACTGATTGTATTTTTTCGCATCTTATATGAATATGCTTACTTGTTTTGTTCACTACCATTCACACAAGCAGGTGAGTTGCTTTTACTACTGTTGGTCGGTTGGTTATCCCCACCTGCTATGACAGTTGCTGGTTTGTTATCAGCTGACGTCGTTGATTTAGCACCGCAGCTTATGTTGGTAGCGGTAGTATTATCAGTACAACTTCCTTCCTCGCCATGATGACTGGCAGAGCTTTCAGCTACTTCAGATTCTACACAACTGTTGCTGTCTACTTGTGTACTTTCCTTTGATAGCAGATTAATTTTACTTCTATCTCCACTGCCACCTGTACTATTACTGTTACTACTTAACGCCATGCGCTGCATTTGTCGAATAACGGTTGCGGCATAATATGCTTGCTACAATGAACATAAAAAAAGCAACGATATGTAATGGAATTAATAAGTATAATACACAAAATAAATATACAGCACTTTCCAAAGCAAATAAAACCTGAATTATTAAATTTTTTTGCGAAGTCCAATAACACATAGTAATGGTCTTTTTTATTATCGACGAAATAACACCCTTCCATAGAGAGAGCCGTGAACCGCGAACCGCTAACAATCTCTCTAAATTTAAATATTTTATGACTTTCTTTCTATCGGTGCAATATTGTATTTCGAATAGCAGATTTTTTCCACAATTTTTCGTAATGTAGGAGGTCGGCTCCAGTAACCGATTTTGTATGAGGTCTCGAACCTGCGCACAGCGTGTCCTGTAGAATAAGCTAGGTGTACAAAATTATTTACGGATCGTTTTGGGATATATTCAAGATGCTGATTTCCGATATACTATCCATTTTTCAGATTGGTTCTTGTGTGCGAATTATTGCGAATATTGCAACATTATGTATTTTCCATCACCATGAGAAAAATGTACTTACTAAAACGAGTATGGAAGCTTCGAACTCGCACAAACGGGAGATACATAAGAGTGGTAAACGCCTACTGCGTAAAAGTCTAAATCGAACGCCATTATATAATTACTAGGTACTCTTTGATCTATAGCAACAAGTCTGGCCTTTATTAATTAATAGTTAATGAATTAATTAATTTGGTAAAAGCTCCGCAGCTATAGAACAAGATTTATTTATTTATTTATTTAATACGTTTTTAGCCTACGAAACAAAAATTTCTTACAGACTATTTAACACTAATTCTTAAGGTAAGGCATAGAATTTAAAATATTCTTAAAAACTGATTTAGGAAATAAATCTAGTTCGATAGAATTTGAGATCTGATTAAATTCATTAATAGCACGCTCAATAGGCGAGTTACGGACATAATTTGTTCTGCAGCATATAAAGGCAAGGAAAAACGCAGGTTCCTCCGCGGAATGTTAAAATTAATTTTTCCCAAGAGCGCCGGACAATCAATTACTCTCTCTAATCTCGCTCTAATCTATCTATATGGAATTGATGGAAAGGACGCCAGATGATTGCAGGCGACATATAATAGTTTTAAAGTGTATGGATCGGAGAATTCGGTGCTGCTCCGCCGCACAAAATCAAGCTTAGCAAACAATTTGGAAATAATAAAATTAATATGAGCGTTGAACAAAAATTTAGAATCAAAGGTGACACCAAGATCCTTAATTTCTTGAACCGACTGGAGGGTACCATTTGAAATACGGTTGGTTCTTGTGTGCGAATTATTGCGAATTTTGCAACATTATGTATTTTCCATCACCATGAGAAAAATTTAGTAATTAAAACGAGTATGGAAGCTTCGAACTCGCGCAAATGGGAGAGACATAAGTGTGGTAAACGCCTACTGCGTAAAAGTGTAAATCGAATGGCATTATATAATTACTTGGTTGGTTTTGTGCGGCGGAGCAGCACCGAATTCTTCGAGCGAGATTAGAGCGAGTAATTGATTGTCCGGCGCTCTTGGGAAAAATTCATTTTAATATTCCGCGGAGGATTAGAGATAAGAGCCAAAAGGTCTTTCTCAAATTTGCTTTACGTTCATTGCATTTCGCTGATCCTCTGTCGTTTATTACTGTTAAACTTAAAAGCACTAGATAAAAAAAGATCTATCCTCTCATTAACTTTCGTTTTTTGCATAATACAAGGTGTAATTGATTGTCCGGCGCTCTTGGGAAAACAGCGTTTTCTAGAAGGTGGCATGAAAACATTTTTTCACATTAAGGGATAGGCGAGTTCTTAAGCACCACAAATATACATCATCAAGTTCATATTGAAGTTTTGTTATATCAGTTGTGTTCTTAACAATTGAAAAACCCTTCAGATCGTCAGCACATGGGTAAATCTTCGGAGCCGTGTGTTTTTGAGGTGAGTAACACCTTCATATTAATTTTATTAATGTAATTTTACTTTTCATAAAAAACTTGGGCCATTTTGATAACAAATGTGACGAGTACTTGTAACTTATTTAATTTCTTTTATTTTATTAAAGTCATTTTAATTTTTATAAACAATCAAAGTAATTAAAATAACAATTTTGACGTGTCACTTTCAATATTACAATTCAATTCAATTTTCCAATATTACATTTACTATTTGCCATGATTTTTGAATGTCTCCGTTTTGCGCTGAAAAAGTTATACACAAAAAACGCACAAACGGTACCCAAAGTGACACGTCAACCGTTTGTGCGTTTTTTGATTAATGCATTTTAGGTGTTGAGAAAAAGATGTGCTGCTCATTGGAAATAAATGGTAACAATTTGAAATCATTCACTCGTAATTATCAAAAAGGTAATATCTTAAGTTCTTTTTCATTTTGCACTTTCAGCGATTACTAAATTGTTCTCATTTGTTTATATACATATTAATTACACATTAAGGAATAAATTAAGACCTTTTGCAGCTGTGGGCCTTTCAAAATATTGAAAATATAACAAATGTTGTCTAAATAGGTCTGAATGGCAACAAATTTCTATTTTTTTTGACAGCACACTGACAGACTTAAACATAAAAGGTTGGAATTAAAAGTGATCGTTAGACAACATTCTTCATAAAGTTCGTTGAAAATGCTAAATATATAAAATAACTTTTGTCTAAAATACGGCCATGAATATATGTGTGTGTATGTAAAGGATTTTCAGATCTTTGGCCAGTGCGGTTAACGTATTTTTAAATATATACTAAAAAATTATATCTTCAATGGATCTTAAGCAAAAATTAATTTTCCGTTAATTTTTTTGGAAACCGGGCGTGGCCCGCCCCCTTATGTCAAATATTTGTATCTCGAAAACCACTTCATCAATCTATACCAAATTTGATTTACACATTGCGCCTGACCTTCTCAAATACTTTCTTGAACATTTTTGAAATCCCAACTGTATTCTGCGAATAAACTATAGTCTTGAAAAAATACATAGTTTGTAACTGAAGGCGATTTTATCAATGGAATATATAGAGGCAAATTCGTAAAAGTCAAACTTAAGAACCAGAGGAACATGATGCATATCAGGAGACGAGACTGGGGATAAACACTCAGTCACACTAAAGTTAATAGTATCACTGACAAAATTAGATCCAAGATTCTATCGAGCTTATTTTTGAAGTTATTAACTTGAAGTAGATTCAAACTTAAAGTATACCAATAAAATATGATTCAAACCTAGAACAAACATTAGTAGGAGTAAGACCGGAGTTGCAATAACTATGAGACCAATTAAGATTACAGAGATTAAAATCACCTAGTAATCAAATATGATTTTCGCCTAACTTATTAATAGTTAGTGATATAATGTCAAAGATATTTGTTAAAGATAAGATGACAAATTCTGATGCATCTCTATTTGTTTTCAACTAAAATTTTTCTACAAAGTTTTATGTAATTTTCAAACATAAGCGAAAGAAAGCATAAATGCGTTCTAGAGACTTACATATGCTCTCTCGGCGAAGCTGAGTACATAAGTGTCCAAATTCAAAGTCTTTCCAAGGATAGCAGGATATAAAATTCAGCATTGCTCGTTACTCATCTCCCACAAGAGCATACGATCCTCTGGAACATCTTTCCGAATCCGTTTAAGTATATTTTTAAGTTATTTATACATAGCGATTTTCGACAAGTTATACATACTAGTATTCGCTCAGAGGTTGAAATTCAACCTCTAAAATTAAGGGGAGTTGAGGTGGGCTGAGCTGAGCCGAGTTGATTTTAATTGATTTAGTTGAAGTCAATTGAGCTGAAATGCGTTGAATAACATAACAGAGTATAACATACACAAAACAATACAACACATTACAAAACAACACAACAAAATACAGTACAAAACAATACAACAAAACGAAACACAATACAACACATCACGACTCAATACAAAACAATACAACATATATCGTCGCTACCATGCCAAACTATCGAATGTACGAGAATGCTTTTTCAATTACGATACCTTGCGAATGCACTTAGATTGATACGCAAATTGGCAAATCGTCAAATTTCGAGTCTTCTTAGAAGCAGAGGATAAGTGCTCGAATCCCGCACTTGAAAACCTCCAAAAAAATAGTTCGGTTCGGTTCAAAAACCACTAAAAAAGTTTGTAAGTTTTGTAATACACAACTTTATCTAAAAATGAAACGTTATGGTAAAACTGCAAACATTTTTGAGTTTAATGGCATCTCCGTGGGTTATATTTCGTCCATATAAAAAATGTCAAACTTGCACTTATCGTATTACATACATTAAAGTTGAATGAGCTATAAAACTGCATCCTCAGATTTTGTTTAGTTGTGATTAAAAAGTTTTAAACTATAATGACATTTTTTTGAAGTTTGTAGATTTTTTCTAATTTTCGTACAAAGATTGAAATTTGGATTTGTATGGTTGTTGTTATATAACGATCCTATACTTTTATTATAAAACAATGAACATTAAACCAACAAAAGAAAAAGAGTCAAATATCACAAATATATTATTTTGACCATAGGTATACCTGTACATATGAGGTTAAGGCCTAGTATAAGCTCCAACCTACCAAAAATGAGGGTTTCAACATTAACCCATTTGCGCTCTCTGTACTATATAAACGACACCAATTCAACCCACGTTTAAAAGTATACTATTATTATTAAAACGAAATTGCTTTAATAAGTTTGCTCCTACTGGTATTAATTTCACTTCAGATAGAATAAAAGATAAATAGGTCTAACTGGGGATACCGGATTTGGACAATTACAAATCGACTTTTCACATTAGAAGTGGTCCACATGAAAAGCTGGGATGTTTTCTTGAATTATTGCAAATTGCTTTAAAATATCCGATATTATAAAGTGGAAAGAGAGTAAATTAAACAAAACGTTATGCCTTGTCAAGTAATGGGCCGTATGAATAAAAACCAAGCAATTGCTTTTTCTTAAAATTTCATACCTTTTACTTCAATTT